TGCATAATTCTTCTCATGATTCATGGTGTGCATATGTTTTACTGACGCCAGGACAGTACAAATTACAATGTTAAGCATCCCTTGTGTGATGTCATTTTAGTGTCTACTGACTGACTGACAGACAACACACAACTGTATGTGATACAAGTGGCTAAAACCAGTGATCCTCCAGGTGGCCTTTGGTCCCCTTTTGTGGAAATTATTGAGCATCCATTTTTATCAGATACATTAAATGACAAATTTCCAGATGAAACGATTCATTTAAGAGTAAGATAATTAGTAATGCAATAATCAAAAACTCATATTTCAAAATTAATATATTGAGATCTGAATTTAAAGAAAATCATAAGGATCCAATGTATTTATAAGTTCCTTGGAAATTTTATGTATGTACTGAACTCAGCCTACCTTTATATAAATATTTAAAAAGGTAAATACTTTATCATAATAGTAGGTGCCTACCAAAGTAAGGGTACCCAACTCATGAAACAACATATTCAAAACTTTATAAGTATGAATGTGAGAAAAGTACATTTAATTAACTATCTAATACTCATTACTAGATTGAGTTTCTAGTTTTGCTTTAAGCAGATAGCTTGGTCTAATTGGAAGTTAGTATCAGTTAAATTAGACTTTAAGTAATATATACTATATAATAATGGAATTCTAGAGAATGTAGTTTCTATATGGGCATATTATGTGATAAAAAGTCTGTACACATTTTTAGATCAGTAAAAACTTTATTAGCTGGCTGTTGATCACACTGAATATTGAGTACCACATTAGTGACAACTTGGCTGAGGTTGTTAGAAAATTGCCCTTATTACCATGTGGACAGTATATTAATGAAGAAGCCCATTATAACAAGTTTATCTTATTCCTTTCTTTTTTATCCAGTGTAGTGCTTTGGTATTTTTTTTTATGTGTGATTTTTTGATCCTCAAAATGGATCTTTCTACCAGTTTACTAAATAAATACACTTGCAGATACTGTATGTTATAAATAAGGAATAAATAAATGTTCCCAGTGACCAGCAGTACCCACTAAAGAAATTGAAGACCCTATTTTTGATTTTGTGCTCTACTGCCTTCACTGAAAAAATATTACTTGCTCTCTAATTACAACCTCACATGAACTGAAGACTAATTCCCAAACACAAGCTCATCTGTCAGAAAGCCATGATCTCCCTCTTTTTTTTGTCCAGTATCTGTTAAAAAAAAATTCACATCTCAGAATGTTTGAAGTTTTCACACTTTTTATCTTCATCATGGTTGCAATATTTTTATATTGACAGTATTAAAAATTTTAAATAATCCATGTTTCTGTTTTATTTTTCATTTGGTATTGGTCTAATAAAAAGGAATTTCCTAAATCTTTTTTTTTCAAGTAAAACAATATTAAATTACTTTTATATAGAAAATGGTTGCTAAATTATTGTTGCATTATATTTCTGTCTCTCCTTAACCAAGTTCTGTTCATTATAAATTTTAAGTTACATAATAAATATTGAATTTTGTTATTTGGTGTAATCTAATGAAAAAAGAAATAAATTATCATGCATATCATGACTTTATAAAAATCACTAGGTGTCAAAATTATGAAAGCAATATTTCTTTGAATATCTTTATTATTTTACACTTTTTAATGTCATCACACCTTACTTTAGATAGTCGTTAAAAGGTCGAACTTTAATATGTTTATATCTGTCAGTTTTAAAACCAAAGTTTTGCTTTGTCTTGCATAAAGGAAAAGAAAATCTTATATGAAATAGAGTGCTGAAAATGATGGAATTGACAACAACCTTTTTTTTTTCAGAGATAGACTTCATTGTCCTAACAAAGTAGTTCCCAATAATTTTATGCTACATACCTACCCTCAATCATACCTTTTAGCCAGCAGCATATCTCTGATGCTAATAACTTGTTAAAAAACTTAACTATGGTTTATATTAATAAAAAGGTAAAACAAAATAAATAATTCAGGGGTGAGTCAACAATACATGAACCTCTAGTGCTGGCCAGTGGAATACATTGGTGACTCACCTAGAGGGTCCTCCAATTTTTAGGTATGAGGTTTATTTTCATTCTAATATTTTTCAAAGATTCTCACATACCCATAGGAGTACACATACCACAGATTGGGAACCACTGCTCTATCAACAATGAAAGTACAATAAACAATACTCACAGAGTTCCAGTTGATTTAATTGTTAGGTTAACAGCTTAGAAACTTGCACTTTTCTATCAACAATGAAAGTACAATAAACAATACTCACAGAGTTCCAGTTGATTTAATTGTTAGGTTAACAGCGTAGAAACTTGCACTTTTCCACATCAGATGGAACTGGTAGTGGACAAAATCTGTTCTCAACAATGGCCAGGACTTTGTCCATCACTTGTTTAACACATAAAACAACCCTTGACCTCATGGCTAACCCACAGGTTGCTGAACACTGGCTCCATCCACCAATCTGCCAGCTTAATCAAAACCAAAATTTTAAATTATCTTTTCTTAATGAATCTCATTCTACTTTTACCATTGAAGATAAATATTTTATGTGTTATGTAAAATCACTAACTTTTTAACTTCACTTTTCAAGGTAATTACTTATCTGTGACATTTTACTAGAAATTTTACTAACATTAGGCAAATTTAAAACCAGTTATAAAGAGCTGTAATAATGCAACATAAAACAAAATCTCACTCATTATGCTATCAAAACACTCAATGAAAATAAAAAACTTTCCTGCCTTTGCATTTTGAATCAAATAAGAAACTTATTATAAGTTGAAAAGTCAAGAAAAACAAACCATAATATAGAACCTTTGTAGATAATGAAATTGGCTAACCATTTATAAGAAAATAATAACTCATGACAACAAGAAAAATACCTTACCTTTCTTAGCGAAAATATCAGACAATCATCACTAATTCCATGCAGTCATTACACAATTAGTTTAATCATTAATAAACTAAATTAAACAAGTAATTTTTCAGGATTAACCATTTAAGATATCAAAACTGAGAAAATCATACGTGATGTATCAGTCACATAACTTTCTTTTTAGCATAGTTATCTTAGCAGATCACAGGTAACTATAGTTGTATGGAACTGAAGTACCTCCCTGTACATGGATGTGTGTTACATGGACGTAGTTCGCTGTTTCTTGGGTGATGGCCTGAATTACAGAATTCATCTTCAACCTTCAGATGACCTTTGTGACACTCAAGGGTTATATGCTGAACACCTGAGGACAGATGTAGACATGTTTTTTAAATAATAGTAAATAATACTGTCATTTTCCCCTTACTTAACATAAGGATGTGCATAGTATTGTTACGTCTGTGTTCGTTTGTTAATTTTCCGTAGAAATTATTTCCGAAGAAACTTTTGCGATACAAGTCCTTTCTTAAATAAAACTAGTTTATTCTTTCTTTAACTTAAACTCACGCTATAATTCAAAACGATTCGCGCCATTTACTTACGGTCACTACCGCGCATGGCTCAATTGTCTGTCTCTGTCTGTCTGCAATTCTATATTCCCCATTCATTATCTGGCGCACTTATATTCAAGAATAGAGGGCGCCTAGCAAATACTGGATTATTCGTGATGTTCCCGATCTTTCTAGAACTTATTTACGTGTTACCAGCGTCACGTGACTTCGGCTGTCGTAACACTGCCCTTCCTTGGTATTGTTTGTCCCGAAAAATAGCCACTTACATTAAACCAATAGAAAATTAATAATAACATAATTAAATGGACAGAATTTA